GAGACAAGTTGGAGTCATATCACGAAGATCTCAGTTCCAGACTCAGGAATAAAAGTAATGATAGCATTTATGGAACACTTTTCTATGCACCAAGTACTTTTTTATGGTTGTCCTGGTTAATCCTTACAATTACCCTATGAGGTAGTCTTTTGTGAATGAGGAATCAGAGACACGGGAGTTTAAATAATGAATTCAGGATCCTAGAGCTTATGAGAAGTATAGCAGATATTGAAACCCAGCCAGTCAACTCCAGAACCTATGGCCTCTTAAACACTGCACTGTATTGCTTTACATTCATAGACTTTACTACATAAAGTTGCTGTTTCCCTAGACCTAAAGGTTTGCAGACTTCTAAGTGATGATTTCATTTAAAAATAATAGCAAAAATAGCTCTTTGTGGGGCTTAACTAGGAAGGAGGTATCCTTTGCCATTTTGACCCATTTAGCCTTCTCCAACCCATATTAGGTTATCTTTGGGCCTCCAGGAATCACATTTCTGCCCTCAGAAAGCACTACAGTTTCTATCCATATCAATAGTATCTTAAAGGGTTACCACATGGACCGTGAGTGTCAACCAATCCAAGAGTGGAAGCAGGTCACTCATAGCAAAGTGGCCAGGCTACCTGTCACATACCCTAAAGCCATGGGCTTTTCATGCCCATACTAGCCTTCCTAAAAGGTATAAATCTGAGTCTAGAGCCCTGAGATGTAAAATTCAGGATATAGACCTCAGAGTCCTGCATTCCAGAGAGAGAAGGAAGCCAGACCGTCTGCTTTTGCTGTCTGGATTTAAAGGCCTTCCAGTGAATTTGGAGCTTTGCTGAAGATTTAACGCCCCCTAGAGGACAACGTTATAATATATCTGTAAGTACTACCTTGGAAAGATGCCCAACTGAATACACCCCTTTTCCCCCCGAAAGAATAGGAAAAATCAAATGTTGGCTAAGATAACTCTTTAAAATTTGAAATAAACTGTGTTTATTTGAGTGTGCGAGTCACATTCAACTTAGAAAAGCTCTTACAAATTACATAATCCATTCCAGGTTGCTCTTTCTAAAATAATCTTTATATTCTTATTATTGTATTAATGGACAGTTGCTTTAGTCAAGTGAAAGTGTCTGCATAGGAAAAATCTCTGAGGAGTGTTGTATAGTCATGTTCTTCAGATGTGATAAAGTTAACTCCCACATTTTAGTTTGTAATTCTCTGCATATATAGAGTTAAGAGGTGCCTCATAGGTTAATAATCATTCCCCTGCCTGATTTCTATATGTGGATTTTTAGTTAATAGTGACATAAGTACAAATGCTTTAAAAAATAAGTTAGCTCCATCTCAGTATTTTATAATGAAATTTATTTTTTTAACTTAAAACCAATTGGAGAAGAAAATTATTATTTTTTAAATAAATAACAGGCTGTAGGACCCTATCATGACCAGAACTGAAAGGAAATACTCTTCCCATCAGCATGTAGGATGCTCCACCCCTCTGGACCAACAGTGCACGATGCCAACGAGTAGGAAGAGTTTATGAAGGCTCATGGCTATACAGAAAAAGGCCTAACATGGATGTTCCAGTTTTGATCTCAACATGCTTCTTAACTTTCCAAATCTCTACAGATGTTTATGTCGATGGAGAGTTACTTATTTTAGGACACTAAGGTTTTTGAAATTAACTCTCATCATCTGAGGCACATACTGTCTTACTGCCTAAATATTTTAAATAGCAGCCTCTGCTTAACCTTCTCCTTTAGCAATATAACCTCAACCTTTTAAATTCAAAAATATCTGAGAATTTTAGTCTAATCATTGACAATGTGCTTATCTCTGACTCAAGCAAATCATAAAACATGCCAACCCAACTGGAACAGTTTTAAGAAAGTGATTTAAAAAAAAGTTATGTAATGGAAGATTTAACTTTCAAGAACATTTTGGTAAATTGTAAAGCACTGATATACAACTTCTGCCAGGTACACGCTGTTCTTTTTTATGTCTTTTTCTGATTACCCACAATAATTCTTGTTCTGACATCAACAAGCATAAAGCAGTCTGAGATGTGGGTAGGCTTTCCTTATTGTCTCGTGACTTTCAATTCATATAGTAAGTTCTTTCATCTACCTGGCACAGTTAGAGAATGAAAAATTCTACTTAGTTGAATGTTCAGGGTACCAGAGATAGGCAAACTCCTAGAATGTCAGGACTAGAAGTGTCCTAGAGATGACCAACCCACTGATTTTATAGGTGTTGTAATCGAAACCCTTGCATGCTTGGGGATTGCCTCTCATGTGTCCATAGTCCCCACCTAGTGCCCCTTACAGGTTACCAACCGCTCCTTCTGATAAACTATTTTCCAATCTTCAAAGAAACAGAATAGCATAGTAATATGCACCATGAAAATGTCACCGGCTATTGGCAGCCATTTCTTTGAGGATTCGGAAGGCATGTATGGTTCCTACATTGTCATAGAAATATAATAAAGCATATCTATGATTCTAAAAATCTTGTTTCTTCAAAATATGATGAGAGGATCTGTTTTACTTTCAAAAATAGCTCCTGGATAACATGCTCAACGCTGTGCATGATATTGTTTCCTGGTGGAATAATGAAGAAAATGATTCTGGTACAACTTCTTGGGAAGGAGGAGTTGATTAGCATTTGTTTCCTTGAGTAGCAACATAAACTCTGAGTGGCCAAGTGCAACCCTGCTGGCAGGAAGGGAGTGAGTGTCCTCCATTTCCAGAGCTCTTGTCAGCCTGGCTTCCCAAAAGAGTATCATCGATTCATCAGGTTTGCTGGGTCTGACCCAAATAAAGCAAACCAGAGGCAAACTCATTTATTACGCATTTGTAAATACCCTCCCTAGCCCTTTCCCAAATCCAAATAGGTGAATCAGAATTTATGGAAAAAGAAGACATGAATTCCCTATCCTACATTTGCCCACACTCATTTTATGGGTGATCCCAAATGCACCAAATAAATTAGTGGGTCCCATAGACACAGCAGGGAGCACACATCAAGATCCAAGATTTTTTCCTTCCAACCCAGGGAAATTATGATCTCGAGGCCACAAAATGGACATAGAGTCCCACGATATTATGGGGAATGGAGGTGACAGTAAAAGGAAATCCACTTCTATTAATGGAGCTAACTTCTTCAACATTAAAAGGACCAGAGCTAGTATGAATCACTTAAGAATGTGTGTGTGTGTGTTTATTTCCAGGTGTATCCATGGGGTTACATGGGGAATTGGGTTCTGAGAGCATCAG